AATATTTTCTAATGGGAGTGCTAATGAAGCAAACGTATATTTGCTATAACAATCGACTACGTTACTTATTTTCCTATTGGAGTAGAGTTTCGAGACTACCAGTCCAGTCCCAGTTTCCAGCCTTTTTTTTATTAACTTTATTGGAACTTTAGGGAAACCTCGTGGTAAGTTCCTAGTCCTGCGTCCTCTGTCATAGTACTCGTGATTTCTTTACTTGATACATTCTCATACGTTTCTCCGGCATCGTCATTTTGAAACATTTATTAATTTCTAAGAACCGAGATCACATGGAGCCTCTAAAAAAGTCATACTCATACAAATCAATATAAAAAAGAGTAGAAAATTTTTTGCTAAGCTGCGGCGTGCATGCATTTAATCATTGTCGTTAGAACCCCTCTATTCAACGTCGACTTGGGAGTGATGCCACAACGATTAAAAAGAATATTGGCATAGAGGGCTATTTTCACTTGTCATTTTGACTAGGGAGGATGTCTCATGGACTGCGTAAACCTGAACGGCGTATTAAAGCCTAACGGCTAAAGTACAGCGGGAATCAGCCGTCGAATTATCACTCGGCTTTTTATTTCAAACTACATTCGTTTGCCTTCCTTAATAAATAGAAAATTCGACTTTATTTTATTCGTTAATTAAACAGCATGCTTTCTGCAAGGCCTTCCTAACCCAGGATCTAATACAATATCACATAATTATCATCATTTATCTTGGGGTGTAGTCAAATGAAGGAGGTTTGGGTTCGAGGGCGATTGCTATCATCAGGTTATTGCATTTTTGTTTATACGCCGACTAGGTTATTTATACAAATAAGATTAGCTTCTATTCACAGCCCTGATATCCATAGTGTCATCTGCTATTAATATCTCTCATTGGTTTTTAAATTTTAATTGTCTTTTCGCTCAGTATGAAAGGAAATCGTTTATATTTCTCATTGCGTTGGAGGGGGGTTATTTTCTTTCATCCTTTTACCCTAATATACGAGTAAACTCGAGTGCGAGAAAAAATTAGTATTGTACATGCACAACCATATTGAGAATATTAAAGCAGATATCAGTGCATTTATTAGTTACTATGTCCACGCTCATCATTAGGTAGATTTGGCTCAAGAACATTATTTACCTTTGCATACGCCTCCATTTAAGGCCGATTGTTTATTTGGTCTTTTGTATCGGTCGAATAGCAAATGCTAGCCAAAAAAGCATAAAATGACCCAATTATGTTAATATTTTTAATAAACATTTATCCCTCTTAGAGAGTACATTCATTTTATATTAATATTGATTGATCTGCTAATATTATGAAATTCTAATTGGCGAGCTATATTTAGCTAAAAAATGTCACTGCAAGTATACATTTATTTCATTTAAAATTTCGTTATATATGTGATATGAGAGAGGCCTGTCCCGTCTTTGAAGTCAGAATTTCTCTGTGACTTATTTACACCAGTGACTGCTTATTTAAGTGTTAACTTGTTATCACGACCTGGTCTTAACCTTAGCTGTGATGCTATGAAACCTAGGTGAGGTATAAACGGCTCTCGACCCTGGATGATAATTTGTAGAGCAGGGCAATTGCAATTTGAGGCCTACTTATATATTAATGGGATAACTTCACGACCAGTCTTTAAATCATCCTAGGGCGACTAAGTTCTTATCCAAGAATTGATGATAATTCCAGGATCTAAGGAAATAAAACTAACTTCTTAATCCAGCATTGCCAACGCTCAGATTGAATTAACATTTAAAAACTTTTCTTGTGAAAACCTTTATTTTATAAATTGCATATAGTTTTATAGAGGTTGTTTGATCTTGTTTTCGCAACATGGTCATATTGGTAGGAAGACTTATTGGAACGCACCT